GATACTGATGATGATGATGATGATGATGTTGACAATACTGATGATGACGATAATGATACTGATGATGATGATGATGATGATGACGACGACGATGGTGACAATGATTATGCTAACAAAGAGAATAATAGGAGTGATTCAAAACGTATTTGTTATTATTCACACCTGGTCGTAACATTTGTTATTATTCACACCTGTCATAACAGCGATGACGCGTCGGTCAATAATGATTAGCCAGATAGGAATTACACATCCCATAATTATACATTACACATCCCCTAACTCCTGCTGATACATTCATTGATCAAAGAGTTGCCTAGGCAGCCTTGATGATGTTTGCGCATTCCCCGGGCTGCCTGGGGTGCTAGGTGCGGGTACATGACTGCAGCATGCAAACAGACTGTTACACTTACAGACCCTTACCGTACACCCTCACTCACTGACCTGTACACCGTCTGTTTGTGCACTAACCCGACCAGGCTGTGTGACTAACGTCAATATACATATCAGAATATATAGAATACGTCAGTATTCCAACCCTAGCAATACCGTTTCTTGGAGCTATTTGTGCACCTGCTCTACATATATATATATATATATACATATATATACATATAAATAAATATATATATATATGTAGGCCTATGTGTACAATTTAATCTTCATTATCTATCTATAATGTACGCTGTTGGTGCTTCCCATGTGTGACAGGGGAATACAGGTCAGACTCTACCATAGACTTACCATCATGAACCAGATCGCAAGCCAGCATTCGTAGAGTTTCTGCATAAACACGTGTTTTCTGTGGTACTTCACCAAAGCACTCCACATCAATGCTCCATTGATCACATTAGGAGTCCAGCTGTAAGGTAAACATAGAGAGAGAGAGTGAGACAGTGAGAATGGGTGAGTTTGCTTGCGTGCCTGTGTGAGAGTGGCTCAGAGATAGAGAGGGGAGGAGAGATTGAGAGAGCAAGAGAGAAAGAGAGAGAGAGGGCAAAAGATTAAGGAAGGAGCTGATTGTGATACTGTGTGAAACAAGGGTACCTATTATGTGAAATTACACTACAAATTGAACTAGAAAATAACTACAAAACGGATCAGACGGAAAAAAATCTCTAACGCTGGACTGTGCTGCCACATCTCAGTACACAGCAACAACTACACCTTCCAAACACACCGACCACCCTCTTCACTAGTCTCGCCCCCACCAACCGCGCCGGCGCCCCCTGGTGCTCACCAGATGAAGAAGACGGCGAGGACGAGGATGAATTTTTCACGGACGGCTGCGACGACGCGCCGTTCCTGCTCGGTGTATTTCGCCAGATTCGCCGTCAGAAGTGTCTTCACTGCAAGTAGAGAAAAGTGCAGAACGAACGTACAGTACGCCGGCTAGCTATAAATTTCATCCCTGATTAGAACACACACACCTGCACGGGCTGGTGTAAGTCAATCGTAAGTTAATGAGTACATATATATATATTAACTTATTAAGTATCAAGTACATATAACATCATAATCATAGTAATGTAGTATGATAAATAATAAAAAAGAAATGAGTGGGTCAATAGCACGGTTGTATTCATTGCAAGCAACTGCACACGGAGCAGAATAACTCATATTAATCGGGGACACGCGCGCGTACACACACACGCACGCACGCAGGCGCACACACACACATATAGAGTGAGAAAGAATGGAAAACAAATTGTCTGCAATTAAAATTCAGTTCAAATTTATCCGTACAGAATTTCTTCTAGTGAACGAAACCATAATTTGCAAGATTCCAAGTGAGTGCCACTACACCGGGGTCGGGTATCGATGGCTCAGGTGAGGTGAGATGAGGTGAGCTTACCTGACAGTGATGAGATGAGGTGAGCTTACCTGACAGTGATGAGGTGAGGTGAGCTTACCTGACAGTGATGAGATGAGGTGAGCTTACCTGACAGTGATGAGATGAGGTGAGCTTACCTGACAGTGATGAGATGAGATGAGATGAGCTTACCTGACAGTGATGAGATGAGGTGAGCTTACCTGACAGTGATGAGATGAGATGAGATGAGCTTACCTGACAGTGATGAGATGAGGTAGAGCTTACCTGACAGTGATGAGATGAGGTAGAGCACTGGGTTGACTGCCATCACGAACAGTATAGGAGCGAGACCGGTCACGTAGTGCGGCAGTAGGTTCCATCGCTCGTGCCCACAGCTACACACGCAATCACACGGCAAACCAGTCAGACTATCATACCAGACTTTTCGAAACCTCACAAATTTAACTCTCTGTTTAATAAGCTAAAAATAATAACTAATTTGTATAAAATAACTTCCGCTTTCATTTGTTTACTGTATTTTTCTTTTACAAGCTTCATTTTTAAATATGATTTCAGGCATTACACGCTCTTTTATTGTAGTGAAAAAATGTTGTGTTTACATTTGTGTCAAGTGTTGAATATGCTTTACTTTAAAACTGCTCGTTTTGATAGATGAAGCATGCTGTATTTGCTCATGAATAAACTATCAAAATTTACCTGTTCATTTCTTCTTTATACATCCTTAAATTTTAATTTTAAAAGTACTGCCCGAGAATCCGGAAAATCTGAATATCTGGACCGACCCAATCCCCGAGCTATAGTATAGGATATCCTTAGGAATACAGAATGTGTTTCTCACGCGTGCTAACAGAGGGAGCCACGTGTAGCGTGCATACCTGCGGATGCTCGGGTAGTAGAGAGGCACTAGGCCGCCGATGCACAGAGCTGTGCACGTGCCCCACACGACGAAGTGGTAGAACAGCATGCTCCTGGAACACACAGCACGCACGCACTCAGATTAACACAAGCAAGTGTGGATCACCTCATCCTCGTACGCGCGCGCGTGTGTGCGTGAGCGAGCCGAGCCGAGAATCGTAGATCCGCCGACAGATTCGCTTCGATATCGCGGCGAGAACTCGAGCGACGACCACGTGATCTACGTTGTGACCGTAGCGCGCGGGGGTGAGCATACGCGGCTGCGGTGCAGACGCCTCACGTGGCAAGGCTGCGTGACCGGCTGCGGTGCAGACGCCTCACGTGGGAAGGCTGCGTGACCGGCTGCGGTGCAGACGCCTCACGTGGCAAGGCTGCGTGACCGGCT